TTATTAAAATAATATAATTTTTAGATATTTTTATTCTTAATGTTTTAAAGATCCAATGACCAACACTTTTCTCATAAATATATTATATATATAAATTAAATTAATATTAATTTTGGTTTGATCTAGTTTTTTAAGTTCTAATACACTTTCTATTCTCTGAAAAAACTAAATAATAACCAAAAAAACACTTAGAAGCTCAATTTCCTAATACACTTTCTATTCTCCTTTTTTTTTTTTCCTGCAAAAAGAGAGAAGATATACTACAACTTGAAAAAACGCATTGCTTTCTCTTTGGCAGAACCCTTAAATCGTCCTTTAAAAAATTTGAGTAGAAACGGATCCAACTTAAAAAATATATATATATTGAAATATGACCAAATAATATTAAAATGAGCAAAAATATGACCAAGTCAGCATCCATGTCATCAAAATAGCTCCAGCATGTTTAAAAAATCCATCTCAGCACATAATTAACGAAAAGCCAATGTAATTAAATATTGTGTGATTTAGATCCGTCGATAATTTTAGGTTGTGAAATATCCCTTTATTTTTTAGGGGTTAAATCTGTCCCTATCCATATTTTTTAAGTGGCAATTTGAGGGTTTTGCCCTTCCCTTTTGCCTCGGGCTGATTTCCTTTTCCCTTTCGCCTCCTTCGTCTTCTTTGGAGATGACAAGAATTCCCAACCAAACCTCTTCCAATCTGCGTTCTCTGCCCGCAACCATGAATCGTAAGGCTTTGAGATTTTTTCACCTGCTTGTTTGAGTTTGAATCTGATTTCACAATCAGAGTCTAGATAGCCTAAACACCCCACATATGTAACAAAAATCTATCATTCGTACATACTTGATTTTCAGTTTCTTATTCTCAGAAGCCAAGATTTCACATTCTGAAACCTTTTCAATGATGTGCTTTGACTTGTACATTTAATTATTAAGTAATCTTTTCTTATAATTGTTTATTCATTTTCTTTGAGATATACTTAAAGTGTGATTGTTTACTTTAAGAGGAAATAAAAAAATAAATGTTTGCAAGTGAGAGCTCCACAATACAGTTGAATATCTTCAATAAGTGTCTAAAATCTTCATAAATATGTTCACCTATCTTGTTTATCTTATATAAGTTGAAACTAGCCATTTAAAACAGTAGAGAACATTAAATGTATGATAGAGTTATCAAATTCAAAAAATAAACTGTTATTATTCAATAAAAATTTAAATATAAAATTCAAAATTTGAATTTTTAATGTCTAGATTCAAATTTACAAACTAAAAATTGATTCTTAAAAAAATTCTGAAATTCAAGTTAACTTTCCTCATATGTAGGGGTCGGCAAAAATTGATTTCGGTTAAAATCAAAATCGGTTTTAATATAACTAAATTTTTTTTTTCCAATTTTAAGAATTAAAACCGAATCGAAGTTCTCACAAATCGATCAGTTTGATTACCAATAAAATCAATTTGATTTTAGTTTTTACTAAATAAATATTAATCAATTATTTTTCTAATAATAGATTATATTTTATCTCATATTTTATCATATTTTGTCATATTTTATCATATTTATTTTAATTTTGGTTTTCAAAAGGCTTATTTTTGGTTTTTGGTTTTTGAAAAGTTCAACTAAAACCAAAACAAAATATATTCAGTTAATATCGAAACTGAAACAATAAAACCAAAAA